AGACCTGGGCACTAAAACGACTGGAGGCCTCCCCCCCCCAAGACCCCCAAGAGGGCAGGGGGGGGGGGGGAATTGGGGGAGTTGAAGTCCACCCATCTTAAAGATGCTGCGGTTGCGAAACACTGGCTTCGTGCAATGTGTGAACCTGGCACTCAGAGGCCTAAAGGTTGGTCAAAACAAAGGACAATCAAGACCATCTAACCAACCATTCTCCTCCCAGGAACGTGCAAATAAGAGCATTGACACTTGTTTCTGCTCCTCTTCCTCAGCACACTGCACCTGCATTTGGAGGCTCCACTGTCCACCATGGCTAGATTCTCACTATGCCTTTAACCAGTGACAGATCTAGCGTTCTCACAAGAGGTCAGTGTACTGAGGTTAAAATATTTGAGGATTAGCTTGTTGTCCGAAGCAGCTGGTAGGGCTCACTTATGTTCCAGTGTATTCCATAAATCCAGAAAATTCAGTAATTAATTCAATAACCGAGTAAAATGTAATGTGTGAATAAATGACAGTGAGACTCAAATTTGACTGATCTCGTCCTAAAGGTACGGAGAGTCGGAAAGAGAAGTGAAGCATTAATTCTTTCAGTAGCAGCTTTAATGCTGCTTATCTTTTAAATCCAGGAGCAGACCCTGCTCATCCACGTGTCCCTCTAACAACAACACGAAGGTGGACAAAAATGTTGGAAAATGCCACATTCTCACGACCTTGCCTTTGTCTCAATCCTGCGGATTAGCCTAAACTCCTTTGGCTGAGGATGATGGGAGCCAAAGTCCCAGTGAAGGCCAAGTTAGAAAAGTGGTTTTAGATCCTGTAGCCGATGACCCAAAGATATTCAGAATTCCTCCCCTACTTGCACGCCACACTTAATGTGGGTCCTGAATTTGCAGCCTGAGATCTGAGCTGCAAAAACCTAGATCAAGGTTTCTTAACCGCAGCAACGTTAAGATATGTGGACTTCGACTCCCAGCATTCCAAGCTGGCTGGGGAATTCTGGGAATCAAAGTCCACCCATTAACGTGGACACTACCAAGTTTGTCTATTTTCTGGGTTGGCAGAGCACGCTGAACCATAAGCAAACCCCACAGGGTGGGGTGGCCCAACCCGCTAGGCGAGGAAAAGCAAGCCAGCTTAACGTGTTGTGCAAATGCAGTTCCTGCATCTTGCGCTAACCTCGTTCGGTGGGTTGTATAAAGCCAGCCGATGATGGACCAGCTGAAATGCTCTTGATGTGGGCGGGGCGACTTACCTGACTCTGCACTCTGCGTGTGCCTTGACGTTCTTCTTTTCTGCCACCCGATCCCCAATTATATTCTGGAGTAAGCTGGCTCCAGAGGGCTGGGAACCCCGGGTCCAGCCCCTTCCCACCCCGGCTTCCACAAAGCCTTGTGGAGCTACCCACCTTGCAGTTTTCGGCTCATTTCCAGCTTCTCCCGTTCCAGCTGGCAGATCCTCTTCTCGAGCCGGCTGATGCTGGAGCTGGTGGTGGGAGACACCGGGGGTCTCTTGGGGAGGTGACTGTGGGGACAGTGGGACACGGAGCGCGGTGACTTTGGCTGTTCGCGAGCAACGGGAATAAATCTGCGCTGGAGGGTGGGAAAAGCCAGCCCTGGGCAAAGATTTGGACGGGGGGTAGGGATGCGAAATCCGTGGTCTCTGCAGGGGCTCCATTGGCCCCCTTCCAGCACCCACGTCCAACCGTGGTCCCTATCACGGCAGCCAAAAACACTCCTTATGAGCAAGGGAACGTCCTCCAATTTTTCAAAAATTGGGGGCTAGAGGGGAGCGGGGGGTCTCCACGTGGTTTTAATGCCTCCTTTTTGCAGCATTCAGCCCACCCGACTCACTTCCCCGAACTCGTGATGGAAGTGGTCCTTCTAGCCCCGCCCACTGCAGTGACATCATCGCATCACCCATCCCCAGCTGGACCACCTGCACCACTGGACGGCGATGGGGCCACCTGGGCTCCGTTTTTGGATCACAGTTGGCCAACTCCTCCCTGCCGGCCAAGCCTACCTCACAGGGCTGTTGCAAGGATAAAACGGGGAAGGAGATGCCCGCAGGATATGGTCCAAAAATCAAGTTGGCAGCCGTGACACTGTGAGCGAAGCCCCGCCCACTTCTGAAGGGAATTGACGGGCATCAAAAATGGGCGGAGCTTGTAGCTGCCATCTTGACTTTTTGGACCATATCCTGCGGACCCCCCGGTGCACAGCCTTGTGCACCTGAGAAGAAAAGCAGAGCATAAATGCAATAATAATAATAATACTAAATAATAATAATAACAGCAGCCTATCCGTATTCAGAAGCATAAGAAATAAAAATAATTTCGAAAGATAAAAAGAAATTTAACTCAAACCTAAATTTCAGTGCCTCTTGTCTCTTGTCCTTCTTATTGTTTTTATTATGGTTTTTATTTCTTCCATCTTTTTTTTTCTTTTATCTCCTGCCTTTCATTTCTTCTGCCCCTAGACCAGTGTTTCTCAACCTCGGGGCGGCTGTGTAGTGGGGGGGGTTTTAACTAAACAAACCTCAACCACCCCAACCCCCGGCTCGCGGGCTTTGTTGTGTGGTTGTTGAATACAAT